TCAGGCATAGCCATTTGCCATAGCCCCACTGCCCACCTGGAACGCAATGCAGGGCAGCACCAGCTCTGCCCACCCCATGCAGATCTGGGGGCACAAGCCCCTTCACCCCCCTGTGCCCTCCCAAATAAGTGGCAGGGGCAGTGGCAGGAGCTACCAGACAAGCAGCTCCCAGACCAGCAGCACACAATGGTGGGAGCCGCCAGACCCCCTGGATGAGCCGTGCCTTTGTTCCACGCTTGTCCCAGTCCCTGCCCCAATCCCTCCGTCACTGTGGGGCCCTGATCTGCTCCCCCATACACCTTCCCTCCCCCATCCCCATCTACCACAACAGACTTACCAGCTGGATGCAGCTGTATCAAGTGTCGTAAAGGAACCAAATCACCAAGTTATAACATTGTTCCTATGGGAAAATTGGTTTCAAGTTTTAACGTTTCGACTTAAAACACAGTTTTCAGGAACCAATTGTGTCGTAAGTCTGAGGACTGCCTGTACTAGATAAACTGAGTGCCTGGGTGCTTTATGCAAATTGCTACAGCATGTTTAATTTCAAGGCTACTGTTTTCAAATTTGCTCCTCACTTCCATGTGCTCAGGGAGAGCAAGGTCTATAGTAAAGAGAGAGGGCTGGGGCTACCAGGGGAAAAAGTTGGGGGAATGATGAAAGCCAGTGGCTATCTGACCTCCAAGATTTATTTCCTGTGCTGTAGCAGCGAGAGGAGGACAAGGCAGTAGTGACACACAGGGGGTGCACATGCACCCCCTGAAAGCCCCTGTGCACCCCCTGACTGGTCACACTCACCGCTTAAGCAGTGGGCAGGCTGGGCCACCAGGAGTACCATTGCCCCCCCTGCAAGAGCTGGCCAATTGCTGCAGCTGCTCCCAAAAACAGCTGCAGACACTCTCGGAAGCGGCTGCAGCGATCAGCCGTTGTGGGATCGACTGTGGGGGGATCCCCTCTCCCCCGGCAGTGAGATCAGCTGTGGGCCCCCCTTCTCCCTGGTCAGCAGGGTTGGTCGCAGGTGGGGCATATGCCCCCCCTGACTAAGGCAGCATCAGTCACCTGCGGGACAAGGTCAAGGCAAAGATCCAATAATTAAATTCTTTAACTGGAAAATTATAATAAAATTTATAAATTTTCAATATATAGAATCTAATTATTGGGGGGTCATCTTATAATCACAGTCACCTTCCATTCGAGTAAATATGATAATTAGACTATTTAGATCTGCTGGTGAATCATTTCATATTCTTAGTAATGGCACCTTTCTGGGACTTTACATACAGTTCTCATCTTGGCTTTCCTAGCAATTGAGAAAAGAAAGTGAAAACCTGGTCCTATGAAGCTCCCAATACTTTCTACTGTAATTAACAACAGTAAGAGTTGAGCATCCTTGACACCTTTAAGTACACACTTTACACTTTGCAGATTCAACTCATCACTTTCTTTGAAGACAGGGTAAGGGTGCCATAAAAATGAGGGCTAATGGTTCATGACCCACCATTTCTGTTTGTTGGTTTACATAACGTTCTCGGTCTTCAGCAAATCTTCTCATCTCCTTGTTACGGTTATTCTCGGCTTCTTTTACTTGAGTTATGAGTTCCATTTTTTCTTCTAACCATTTCTTTCTATCAGCTTTATATTTTTCTTCGGATTCCTGTTTTAATGAAAGATAAAAGTAATAAGATATGAATCTTTTCTTTTATTACGATGAAAGCTCTCAATGGTTAGGCTGATGTTAAGTTGATAATTTTCACACATTTTAAGGGTGCCAATATTCCATGCCCTGGTGCAGGAAGCTGGCGTCAGCTGCTCCCGGGGCCACTCCAGCACGGGAAGGGGTGAGAGGGGACCAGCAGAGCCTCGGGGGCATTTGGGGCATGGTGCAGCCCAGCTGCTACAGGCAGCTGGAGTCAGACACTCTTGGGGCTGTTGCAGTCAAGACTGGGGTGAGTGCCGCTCTGTTCCCTCTGGTTTTCTGCCTTATGCAGCCCTAGGAGTGGCACCCCTCCCCCTACCCCTTCCTTAGTCCCAGCTTCACTCCCTTCCTCACCACCATGGGAAACTATCCCTATCTGCTACACTGTAAAGTGCGTTTGCTTTATGAGATTTCGATTTATGCGTCATTCTCCAGGAACACATGTACTGCATAAATCAAGGGAAACCTCTATTTTTATCTTTCCCTCAAAACAAAGGTACTTGCAGCACCAAGGGTGCAAGCTGAATGGGAAAAGGTAATGGCTGCCGTCCTGAAAATGCAATGTTTTACATAATCAGCATAGTCAGTCATGAGCCCTTTCCAGGAAAGGGAACAAGCGCCTTTCCCAAGTTGTCTGGAGATTAACCACCTCCTCACTCCAAGAAGTCAAATGTAGTTCCTCACAGCGAGAGGGTAGGCTTAAACATCAAAGGACAAGCATATTATTTTGAGACAGTCAAATCTGATGGACTAAGCAGGGAACAGGGTGTTAAATACAGATTCAGCAAGTGCATCCAGTTTGACATGAAGCTTTTTGGATTTGGTGTCTCCTCCTCTTAGTGCTACAGACAGTTAGAAGGACTTAATAGATGATGTGTTTATTCCAAAACTTTCCTTTTAATTAATGGATGGCATTTGCTAAATAACTACGATTATTAAAAATACTGCATGAAGTGTGCAGCAGAGGAAAAATGCAAAAAGGAGAAGTAAATTGAAAAGAACTGTTCAAATGATTTAGTGCAGAGGCACTCACCACCTGCCTGGCAAGCTTGATCCAGCAGGGGAGCCATGTTATTCGTCCTGCAGAGCTCCCCAAAGGCCCCAAAAATTGTGGCAGCAGTGACAGCATTAATTGCCGCTCCCCTACTGTCAAATTTCCGGACCCACAGGGAGCAACGTGTATGGACAGCTTGGCCCTGTGTGCTAGGTAGGCCAGGGTTTAGCAAAGCAAAGAGTCAGGTTCAGGAACAAGCTGAGTCAGGAAGCCAGGGGATCAAGTAGAGCCAGAGAACAAGTCAGTTCAACAATCCAGGGTCAGCTACTCTGGTACAAGTATGGGTGACTGGTGCCACCTTAGTCGGGGGTGGGGCACGTGCCGCCCCCCCCCCCCCCCCCCCAACCAGTCAGCAACTGGGGGGGTGGCGCAAAACTCACCAACCGGAAAGTGGCCACAGTGCTACATCTGAAGCTCCCACTCCCTGGCCAGCGCTTGCAGAAGAGACACCAGCACTCCCGCCTGCCCCTGCTGCCCATCACCTAACCAGGGAGCACAGCTGGTCAGAGGGTGCATGTGCATCCCTGTGCACCCTCTACATGTCGCCACCGAATACCAGCGATTGGAAGGAGCGCTAGGCTTTGCTCGAAGCTTCAAGACAGCAGGCCAGAATAAGCAGCTGTGCCGGTCAGGCCAAGGCCCAAGGTTCAAGGTCATGGCTTGACAACATGTATTTTTAACATGCCCAATCTTTAGGGTGCAACAAGAAAAGAAATGATGCAGACTATTGTTTACTTTAAACTGAACAATCTACATTTAAAGATTCTACATTTAAAGTATGAATTCAGGGATTAAATTTACCTTCAGCCTTTCTTGCAGCTTTATTTGTTCTCCTCTAACATCTATACTTTCCTCTTCATATTTGCTTATTATTTGTTGGTTACCACTGCTCTGCTTCTCCAGCTCTTTATATTTTTGCTTCCATTCTTCCAATTCTAGGCACAACATGAGAACAAGATAAAATAAGATATGCTTCACTTTTAAAATTCTTACCATGTTCACCTGTTTCTCTTGTTGGTATCTTTTACAATGAGTAATTATCACTACTGTTGGAGTGATGAGATGGCAGAGAGACAGAGTGGCACCACATGCCATTATGCTCAAACAGAACTGTAACAGTATTTTAGATTCGGGCCAATATAACAGTAACAAAGTCAAGGATAAAAAGGGAGAAATGCAATAGAGCAATTAGTATAATAAAGTATATTTTGCCCCTCCCTTCTTGGATTCTATACAGGTATTTACCAGAAACTAATCTCTTATTCTCTTCTAATTTGGCCTCAAGCACTTGGTCTTGCTCCATTTGAGTCTCTTCCTGCTCCTTTAATGTCAATCTCATGTCTTCAATTATTTTCTTTTTTGCACACAAATCTGAAAATTTAAAAATAAGTTTACAATGGAGGCCTCTATTTCTCTCAAGCTGTATAATATTCTCCCAAGTTGGTATGTCCATTAAACTAGTTCTGAATCCAAAGCTGTTTTGGTGTAATAATGCTTTTCTAGTGTCCATGGTCAAGGTGGTCAAGCTAGTGGCTATCCTTTTTTACATTATCCGACTGTCCCCAGCTCAGCATCTGGGGACTCCTCTAGTTTCTTCTCCTAATACAATACGAAATTTGAACCATCACTTCACTGATACATCTCAAACTTGCATTAAACCTGCCAGTGCCTTTATCTTCACAGTGTTGTTAAAAAGGTATCCCTAACCCCTCCTCTGATTTTTTTGAAAACTATTAAGTGAAGGGAATGGAAAACTCACGACCTATTTTATTTTTAGATAGAGTTTGGAATCCCTATCCTGTGTCTCAATTTCCTTGACAGGAGCTTAAAAAATGCAGCTCCTCACCTCAAAATTTTAAAATGTCAGGTTAGGAATTTGTTGATGCCAAGCAACATTTTAAAACATGAACATTAAATCCTTCAAGCCAAATTACACAAGAACTCCTTCTACAATCATTTCATTCTAGGATACAAAAAAATGGCTATTGCTGACCTTTACATGCATTATCATATTGCTTCAAAATTTCTTCCATCTTCTCATTATTCAACTGCTCCTAAATAGCACATGGAAAGCAAATTAGTAGGAAAACATCTGAAAACAGATACACATACTGGTATTTGTTGAAAGGCTTTTTAGTCTGCTAATTGGAACCTTATTAGGTGATTATTTAGGTGTGATGAAGAATAAGGATCTTTTTAATATACTATAAAAGGCATTTTAACCTTTTACTTTATTAATTCAAATTCAGATACTTCAACAGAGTAAAAGCATCTGCTGATTGGATTATTAATGAATATATTAAATAATACATTTCCTGAACACTTAGCTCTATCAAAGCAAATTTGATAAGTTAGTATCAGTAGACATTTTTTAAACTTGTTATTTGATCATTAAGTTAAAATTAACTTGATTTTATTTTACCCTATTTCTGTAGGCCGTCTTGCTGCTTAGACGTCTTACAGCATTAGACAAAATGCAGAGTAAACAATGCTCATTTCCACAATAGTAAAAAAAAAAATACCTTAAGTTGCTGGATTGTTCGCTGTTTGATGTCTAATTCATCAACCAACCGGTTTTTAGTTTTCTCAAGTTCATTAACTTTGTTCCTCAGAGAGTTCTCCTCTGAGCGCATTGTGCACACCTGTGAAAGGACAAGTGAAGCACATAGCTCATCATCCTCTGCTTGTTACTTTCATTTAATTTAGATGGCAAAAGTTAGGAGTGCTCAACCCCTAGCTCTTGGGTCAGACTTGGCCCAAGGAGCCCTACAGGCCTGATAACGTGGCTCTGCACGCTACTGGAGGCAGTGCAGGACTCAATCCCTGTGTGCTGAGCTACGTGGAAGTGGCTCAACCTGATCCCAGTGCACTGGGTTTGGGAGAGGCAATACAGGACCGACTGGAGTGTGAGGGACCCAATCTAAGTGCATGGGGATGGGGGAGAGAGTGTGAGGCCAGGCAGAGATACTTAAGGGCCTGATCCTGCCCCCCAATCTGGCACATGGGGTCAATGGGTATCGCAGCAGTGGTATAAGCAGACTGCACTTACAGTACAATTAGATGTAAATATGTTTGAGATTCAAAGACTCACATGAAGAGTTCAAACTACACAATTCTCACTTATTTTCCAAGAACACACTACTACATTTCCATCTTCCTTGTGTGGAAGATTTACAGTATTCAACAGGTACCGACAATCTGTGAAGTATGCATTTCAGCCATACCTATAAAACTAATAAAGTTTTCTGTTGGCATATAATCTCACTTCTTTACTGCTCCTTCACAAGTGGCTGACCATAAATATTTAGAAGGCAAGTTGGAAGCAGAACAAGAAGTGCTAGTGGGCTTTTTAGGGAGACAGTAATTCAACTAAGGCTGAACTGTACAATTTAGCCTTCATCTAAAATGCAAACTATTGCAGTAAGCAACCCTACAGATTTTTAATTATACCTGTTGCTTGGTAGTTAGATATTAGTCACTAATACAACTAAAAGTTACTGTTTAAAATTTCTTTCACATATTTTAATGGAACATGTAACTTTTATTTGACCCACTGAGAGAAATATCAGAGAAATTAGCACATTCCCATTCTGGCAAATCTTCTCTAATCTCACCCCAGGCCATATCTAAACTGCTTCTTCCCAATGCCAGATCAGTCACCAAGGAAATAAGCTTCACCCACTCACTGCTGCTCCAGCACATCCAAAACCCACAATTAATCAGTGTAAATAGCTCAGAAATGGCTTCCAGTGCCAGGTACAACCCAGGGGAACACTCAGAGGCTCTGGAGTCCACTTCTGAGACATCTGCACTGTCTAATTTCAGGTCTTGAGTCATTTGCCTCAAAAACAAGCAGACAGGATTTACATCTTCTGTGGCAGACCTACAGTCAGAAAAAAGTGGCAGAGTGATGCCCCAAAAGACCAAAGTATTATCTTTATATAGTCCAGCCTCCAACATGCTAAGAAAATACAGCCCCCAAAGTCAGACATGCATGTTCCATAGTGCCACTTAACTAATCAAGTCTGCAACATTCTTGTCAGTTTCATAGTTTCTAGGGTCGGAAGGGACCTAAGAAGATCATCTAGTCCAACCCCCTGCCATGGCAGGAAAGATTACTGGGGTCAAACGACCCCAGCAATCAGTAATCAGACTGGCCAAAATGGCATCTTAAGTCATTATATAGACCACATACAATAACAGTGATGGTTACTGGAGGATGGTGGGGCAACTCAGGAGCTGCCTTTTGGGGGGAAAGGGTGCAAAAATAGCAGATATGTACTACCCTGAGCACAACCACTGCCCAGGGTATGGAACTACCTTATTATGCCTTTGCACAATAAGTGTTTTCCCATTACTAGGTGTCTACCGAATCGAGGTGGCTGCCGGCCAATTTTGTGGGCAGATACCCAGGCTGGCAGCCATTTTTGCAGGCTGAGCACAGCCCTTTTGCAGCCCTCTCCCCACCCCAGCCTCTAATAGGTCGAGGGGCCCCAGTGGCCCTGCCCCTTGTTGCTGTTGGGCTGAGAGGGCTGTCCATCACAGCCCTGCCCCTTGCTGCTAACTGGCTTCAAGGGCTGTCCATCAATCAGTTTCAACAGGTGTCAGTGGCAGCCATGTTACGATGCAAGCAGCCCCTCTCTCCCTTCGCACCTCCACCCTTCCCCAAGGAAGGCTGCGCAAAAAATCGTGAAATCACAATTTTGGTAGGTCCCCACCAATTACAGTATCTGCATATTGAAACATGAATGAGTAATAGTCATATCTCATTAGCTTACAGTTTTACCAATGCTCTCTTTCAGGTTCACCTTTAGTTCAGTATTAATACGAATTACCTGAAAATTTATACTAGTCAGGTGTTTGACAACTACATTTACTCGAATCAACACAATTTAGAAATTAAGATAATCCAACAATTAGATTCTATATATGGAAAAATTATATAAATGTTATATAATTTTTCATGTATAGTATCTAATTATTGAAGGGTGATTTTAAATTAATCACCCCCACCGCTGGTAGAGGTCAGGAGGCAAAGGGATACCAGTCAAGCAGGGGGGAGGGGGGTGGAGTCAAGTGGCTTGAAACCTACACCTTGCTCTCCCACAACATGCCCCTGCTTCCTGTTGAACCCCCTTGGCTGCCTGCTCCCCCAGTGCCTATGTACCCCAGCACCTGCCCCTCCATCATTTGCTACACCGTGCCTGTGCCCCCTAGTCCCTAACCGCCCCATTGTACCTGTTTTCCCTGGCACTTGCCCCCTTCCCACCTAGCCTTCCCTGCTGCCTACCTACCCCCCATCGCAAAGCCTGCCACCCACCACCTCTTCCCCCACCCAACCCCTCAGGCTTGGGACACAAAGCAGCTCCATCCCTAGCTCCAGGCTGGGTGGAGGCCTCAGACCACAGCAGGGCCAGAGCTAGGGGGCTGCTGGTGGTGCAGATGGCAAATGGCAGCTGTGGCTCTAACTCCAACCCAAACCCAAGCTGTTGCTAGAGTTGGAACAACAGCAACAGCCTGACTCCTCCCCCACAACCTTGTACTGCAACCGAAGATATGGTGCTTTTTTCCTTATGTTAAAATGGAGGGGAGAGCAACTCTTATCTTGGATTTGAGTAAATACTGTAGTGTTTGATAAGCAAGGATTGATTTAGTTTAGATTTAATCTGTACAAAGAATGTGTCCTGTTATTGTTCCAAACCTCTTTTTGTACTTGCTGAATTTGTTTCTTGGCATCTGCTAACTTCTCTTTCAGGTCTGCATATTCCTCATCTTTCCTTTGGAGATCTACATTTAGATGCTGTATGACAGAAGAACTCTCAGAGAGGTCTTTACTCAACCTTGGAATTAAGAAAAGAGATGTAAGTACTGAAAAAATGAAAATATTACTGTACAAGAGATACATTTGTTAGAACAGATTACTGGAATATGGATCACTGGGGTTAGTTTCCCCAATGGCATTAACTTGCTGTAGGACAATGAGCAAGTCAACTGCTGTACCAGCTTCCCTAATCTGCCAAATGGATTTCAGACTGTTGAATGAGACCTTGCATAAAAATGAAACAGTCCATTTCACTTTTTGGATCCTTAATGCACTCAGGTAACACTGCACTTTAGTATGCAAGTAATACAAGGTACTAGAAAATTATAACAACCAAACTCCATCAAGGACACATGCCTGTTTTATAATTTTTCTTAGAACAAAAGAAGCCCTGAACTTTGAATCAAAACTTCTCTAATCTTCCTTAAATTCAAATGCAAACAGAACAAACAGAATTTCTAACCTCAGATTTAATCAAGGAAAAAGCCTTTCAACATCGTACAGAAGTGGGAGCTGACCCTGACATCTTTATAAAATAGTACTTTATAATCCATGAGCCCTTTGTGCCTTGTAAGGGCACAGTTGTGTTTCTGGACTGGCTCCATCTTCCTACCCCATTATTTAAGTTATCACCCTATCTATCAGGGTAGCGAAAAGGTCACCAATAACGGCTGTTGCCATATGAATTGCTCTTAACATTCCACCATACAAAAACTAGAACTCTTAGTTCCAAACTGATACCTTTTATTAGACCAACTGGAAAATGGCAAGAAAACTGTCCTTTTCTGCCAGCTTTCAAGATCAAAGTCCCTTCGTCGGGCTCTGGGAAAAGTGTAGATGGTACCAGATGGTAAAGAGTCCCCATAGGTAGGAAATAAACTTCATTTTTTCACAGAGGGAGCTGAAGCTGGAAGGCTGTCCCTCTGTGTCCATGAGAGTGTCTTTGTGAGCTGTGTTGAGTAGCCGTTTGATGTCTTGATCAGGTAGAATTTTTTTTTACCTCCCTGCCTGCCATCTGACACCTCCAGGGCTGAAAGGGACCTCAGGAAGTCTAGTCCAACCCCCTCCTCAAAGTAGGACCATCCCCAACTAGATCATCCCAGCTAAGGCTTCGTCTAGACTGGTCTTAAAAACCTCCAAGGATGGAGAGTCCACAACCTCTCTAGGTAACCTGTTCCAGTGATATACTACCCTCCGAATGAGTTTTTCCTAATAACTAACCTAAACTTCCCTTCCTGCAACTTGAGACCACTGCTCCTTGTTCTCTTATCTACCACCACCAAGAACAGACTATCTACCTCATCTTTTGAACCACCCTTCAGGTAGCTGACAGATGCTACTAAATCCCTGCTCAAGTCTTTTCTTTTCCAGACTAAATAAGCCCAGTTACCTCAGCCTCTCCTCAGAAGCCATGTGCCCCAGTTCCCTAACAACTTTCACTGCCCTTGGCTGGACTCTCTCCAATTTGTCCACATCCTTTCTGTAGTGGGAGGCCCAAAACTGGACACAAAACTCTAGATGTGGCTTCACTTGTGCTGAATAGAGGGGAATAATCATTTCCTTTAACCTGCTGGCAAATGATCCTGCTAATACAGCCCACTATGCCATTAGCTTGCTTGACAACAAGGACATACTGTTGATTCATATTCAGCTTACTGTCCACTGTAACCCTCAGGTCCTTTTCTGCAGAGCTACCACTTAGCCAGTCCCCAGCCTGTACTGGTGCATGGGACTGTTTTGTCCCAGGTGCAGGACTTAGCACTTGTCTTTATTGAACCTCATGAGACTTCTTTTGGTCCAATACTCAAATTTGTCAAGGTCTCTCTAAATCCTAGCCCTACCCTCCAGCATATCTACTACTCCCCTCAGCTTGGTGTCATCTGGAAACTTGCTGAGGGTGCATTCTCTCTCATCTTCCAGATCATTGATGAAAATATTGAACAAAACTGGCCCCAGGACCGACCCCTGGGGTACTCCACTTGATACCAGCTACCAATTAGACATTGAGCCATAGATTACTATCCTTTCAACCCAATGATCCAGCCAGTTTTCTATCCACCTTACAGTCCATTTATTTGATT